GCGTACGCAATCTTTTGATAATGCGGGTACCTTGACTTGCGCGGAGTAAGGATAGTGGACACATGATAGACCGGCTTTTGAAGGGGGAATTTGTGTCCATCCATTTCTCGTTCGACGACGAGCACTGCGCTTATAACCTGATGGGTTGCTGCAATGTATAATAGCATTGGTTCGCCAATATTTGGCGCGGCCAGGACTGGGTTTGTTGCCAATATGGCTTTTATTTCGTCGAGTCCGGCCGTGGCTGCATCCGTCCACTCGAAGTGTTCGGTGTGCCGAAGGAGGCGGTAAAGGGGTAGCGCCTTTTCTCCCAAGCGGGAGATAAAGTGGCTTAGAGCCGCCACGCATCCGGTTAATTTTTGTATTTGTTTGAGGTCCTTTGGGATATCCAATTGTGACAGAGCTCGAATCTTGGCTGGATTTGCTTCAATTCCTCTACCGGATACAATGAACCCAACGAGCTTTCCGGTTGGTACGCCGAAAACGCATTTTTCCGGGTTGAGCTTGATGTCGTATGTTCGGAGGTTATCGAATGTGAGCCTCAAGTCGTCTACTAGAGATTCGACATGTCTTGTTTTAACGACCACGTCATCTACGTATGCCTCCACTGTTTTGCCGATCTGGTTTGCCAGACATGTCTGAATCATGCGCTGATATGTTGCGCCGACGTTTTTGAGCCCGAAGGGCATTGTGTTGAAGCAGAATGGGCCGTATGGTGTGATGAATGTCGTTGCGGCTTGGTCTGACTCTGCCATCTTGATTTGATGGTAGCCGGAGTATGCGTCGAGGAAACACAATGAATCATGTCCTGCGATAGCGTCGATAATTTGATCGATGCGGGGGAGGGGGAAGGGATCCTTTGGGAAAGCCTTGTTAAGGTCTTTAAAATCAACGCACAGGCGCCAGGATTTGTCCTTCTTTGGTACCATCACCAGGTTTGCTAGCCAGTCCGGATGTTTTATATCTCTGATGAATCCGGCCTCCAATAGCTTGGCTAGTTCCTCTCCCATGGCCTGTCTCTTAGGTTCAGAAAAACGCCGAAGAGCCTGTTTGACTGGCTTGAATCCTTTTAGGATATTTAAGTTGTGTTCGGCCAGCCTGCGTGGGATTCCTGGCATGTCTGAAGGGTGCCAGGCAAAAATGTCCCAGTTCTCGCGTAGGAACTCTCGCAGTGCAGCGTCTACATCAGGGTTTAACTGTGCCCCGATGGAAGCTGTTTTATTGGGGTCTGTTGGATGGACCTGGAATTTGACTATTTTGTCCGCCGGTTTAAAGGAGGTGGACTTGGATCTTTTGTCGAGTATCACATCGTCCCTATTCACCGTGGAGCGCAGCGCAGTCAGTTCCTCAGCCGCCAGGGCTTTGGATAGTGCCTCGAGGGCCAGTGCGGCTGTCTTATTTTCGGCGCGGAGTGCTATGTCCGGGTCACTTGCGAGAGTGATGATTCCGTTAGGCCCGGGCATCTTGAGCTTCATGTACCCATAATGGGGTATTGCTTGGAAGATTGTAAACGCTTCCCGCCCTAGCAGAGCGTGGTATCCGCTACTGAATGGGGCCACTTGGAACGTGACCTCTTCGGACCTGTAATTATCCGGCGTGCCGAACACCACATCTAGTGTGATTTTTCCTGTACAGCGCGCTTCCCGACTGGGGATTATTCCTCTAAAGGTTGTGCTGCTTCGCTCAATGCGGTTCCAGTCTATTTCCATTTTTTGAAGCGTTTCCTTATAAATGAGGTTCAATCCGCTGCCGCCATCCATGAGTACCTTGGTAAGGCGAAAGCCGTCCACTATTGGACTGAGGACCAATGCGGCTAGTGCTCGGGCTGTTCGGAATTTGGGTTCATCACTGGCATTAAAAGTAATAGCCGTGTCACTCCATGGGTTTATTGTTGCTACTTGGTAGACTTCGGCAAGGCTGCGGAGTGTTCTTTTTCGCATATTATTCGATGCTAAAGTCTCGAAGACTGTCAATACCGTACTGGCGTCCCTGGGGTGGCTTTCTGTGGCTTCTGGAATTAAAAGATCTTCGCCAATTTTGGCCACCTGCCAGAGTATCCAACATGCTCCAAGGCTATGAGTTGGTGTGGCGCCCTCTATACTGTGAATTTTACAGGGTCCATTAAGCCATCCTTCCAGTACGGTTCCATGCCCTGTGGAGGGTTTTTGCTTTTTGGTGTTTAACCCGGGTGTCTGGCGATGATGCACCCTTTTATTTCGGGCTGGGTTTGTATTCAGGGCCGGATTGTCCCAAAATTTTATTTCGGTTTTCCAGGCGCTTTCCATCGCACAATACTTTCGTACTATGGCCGCCAAGTCAGCGAAGCGTGTAATATCACGGCGACTTATGGAGTTGAGGATTCCCTTGTCCGTGCAATTATTGCAGAAGAATGAAATTGCGTCTTCCTCGCGGTAGTCCTTTGTCCTGTTCATAACCAGGAGGAATCTGGCCCAGTAATGATGTACTGTTTCTTCGGGCTCTTGCCTAATTTGGGATAGATCGCTTATGTTCGAGTGGGAGGGTGGAATTAAATCTGAAACCTCACCCAATCTGCGACTCAGGGGCCAAGGAGTTTCCGAACTCGGAAGTTTGGATTTTTGGATGTTGTCCAATGAATCTAGCCCGTTGCCTGACTCTAAGTTCAGGTCTTGGGTGACGTCCTCCCCTCCGCGGGTATCCGGCTTGGAGGGATCGGGAATCCGGACATAGCTAGTCCTTACGATAGATGAAGGGTCGCCGCACTGTCCCTCTACCACTGCGACGTGATGGGTGACCTGGGGAGAGTTAATCTCTCTCAGTTCGGGTTTAGGCCCAATCTGGTCATAGTCTGTAGCGACTCCCAGGGCGGCGATGCGATCCAAGAGCTCGTTTAGGGAAGAGAGCTCCATTGGATCTAACTGCTCGGCGAGTTCCGAGTTGACGTGAAGATTGCTTTTGATGACCCGAGAGGTCATCGTCGGCGCAACAGCCGAACAGGCGGTCATAAGAAAACCACCTAGCCGGAGAGTTTGGCCGACAGCCAGAGCTCCCTTAGCAACGGTGCTGTCTTTAAAGACGGGATGAGGCATCCTACCTGATGGCGACGACACAGAGGAACTATCAATGAAAGCACCAATGTCGGTGTCAAAACCGGCGGATCTCGGGTAGGGGGTCCCGAACTGTGCGTCTAGGCGCATGGTAACAGGAGACAAGGGACACGATATTTTTACCCAGGTTCGGGCCCTCTCGATGGAGGTAAACCCTACTCCTGCTTGATTAATATTGATGATATGGGTAGTACAAGAATGGATCTACCACGAGATCAAGGAGGCTAAACCCTAGAAGCTAGCCTATGGTACGATTGTTGTTGTTGTACGAACTAAAACTCTCCGGTTTATATAGACACCGGAGAGGGCTAGGGTTACACAGAGTCGGTTACAATGGTAGAAGATCTACATATCCGTATCGTCAAGCTTGCCTTCCACGCCAAGGAAAGTCCCATCCGAACACGGGACGAAGTCTTCAATCTTGTATCTTCATAATCCAGGAGTCCAGCCAAAGGTTATAGTCCGGCTATCCGGACACCCACTAATCCAGGACTCCCTCACCTAGCGAGACACCGGTCAGTGATGAGGGGACAGTGCTAATCGGATTAGTATTAGTGTTAGTTGAATCTTAACAATTTCTTTCATTGTCATCCTTGACGCATTGTAGTTAATTTGTTCCATGAATTTGCCTTGCCAACTAGTTGAATGTGAATTTAACATGCATTACAAAACATGACTTGTTCAATAATTTAATCTGTTTCCGGTGCTTTTCATGTTCCGTATATGTCCATTTGAATGTATTCTAACATAACTAAAGAGATCTCTTTCCTAGTGACACTTCGGCCGTAACCATGATTTTTTTTCTCGTTTGAAGATAAATAGTCTCTAATTCTACATTTATGCCACTAATACCTAACAACTTTGTTGCAGTGGTAAACGACTCTGTAAACTATTTGCCTTGTAGTTCTGAAAGAAACTAATGGAGTGGCACACTATTCATTCGAGTTGCAAAGATGACAACCTTCCGCTCTACTTCAGATAAGGAACTCCATCACAGGGAAAATATCACATGATACCACCCTTCACATGCTACCATGCTTCAACTTTTGAAAAATGACATTTAGATGTTTCAAAAAATTCTGAAAAAAATTGTGGATGTTCAGAAGACATATGTTCATAACCCCTAAAAATTTCAGATCAAAATTCAAAATATACATTGAGAAACAAAAAAGACAAATCTGAAATGAATAGTGTCAAAAATAGTGGCTCGGAAATGGAAATTTGTACTCGAAAGTTTAAATAGTGGCGGCGGTACATTGAGAATAGTTGCATAGGTCGGACATGGCAACATCAGATGACAGCTCGCCGTGCTTCTCCGTCGGCACCAGTGGCTCGGAAACAAAAGAGGTGGGGTGGTGCTCCGCCAGGGGATGAAAATGGATGTCGGTAATATTCCAGAATGAGGATAAAGTCACTCCTTTCCCTCTCAAGTCAAGTGGAAACAAATGATTCGTTTGCGCGACACGTGTTAGGGAGCGACCGCTCGTCATCAGACCAACGTCACGCTAACAAGTCTACAATTCATGCTATTGATTTGATGATGGGTATTGCGTTCAAAAGCTGGTGTTAGATTTTCAGCATTTGGGGGATATTGCACTTATTTTCTTGACATGTGTTTTTAGGCAAATGTTTTTTTTACAAGTGCACGTTTCTTTTTTTTTTTTGAGAAAACAAGTGCACGTTTCTTTTCTTCACGCAAGCACCTGAACCCCTGATTGGGGCAATTGGGCTTGTGTCGAAGCGAGATGGACTAAATGCAGCGTCCTCGTTCTCACGGCCCAACAGCCCAAACAGACAAACAAAGCCCACCACGGCACCCGGCGGCTCCGCCCCCTTATAAAGTGCGGTAGGGTTTACGCCACTCCGTCTCCACCGCCGCCACTCCCATTCGCTCGTCTCCTCCAACCCTAAGCGATGGTACGTCTCCGCCTCCGAACCCTAGCCCCCCTCCCCGCCGCCGCTCCGTCGTCGCCTGTCGCTGACCCTCTCTTCCCTCCGTGGTTGTTTTGTTTTTGCAGACGAAGGGTACCGGCAGTTTCGGCAAGCGCCGGAACAAGACCCACACGCTCTGCATCCGCTGCGGCCGCCGCAGCTTCCACCTCCAGAAGAGCACCTGCTCCTCCTGCGGCTACCCCGCCGCCCGCATCCGCAAGTGTAAGCTCCCCCCCTCGCCCTCGCCCGTCTAGATCTCCAGGTCTCTTACCGTCATGCGCAACGGTGTTATGGATGCCACGAAGGGCGCTGCCCCTGCGCGTAGATTTGACTCGCCGCATTAGGATGCGGTTGGCGTCCCGCCGTGGTCGTTCGAATTGAGATGCAACCACCTGATCCGTTATCTCGGGTCATAATTTTTGGGCGTATCCTGTTCATGTAGCTTGTTGGATGCATAGTCTGATCTCCCAATGGGAAATACGTACTAGTGAATGATGATGTCTGTGTTCACGAGATTCTTGGCAGTGCTGTTAACGTTGTTTGCAAAATGCTGTGATGAATCATGAAATCTACAACGCATGTCAGACTTCGGAGATGCCATTTGGCATTGATGAGAAGATATTTCATGTTCTGAGCAATAATGTCTGCATTTCTCATCGGTAGTTGCCAAACTATAAATTGTTATAGCCTGTTTTCTTGTTGTCCATGAATGCTTATGTGTTTGAGGGTCAAGCGATGAGGAATAAACTGCAACAATATGATGGAGCTATGCTCCTCTGATTCTTAGTATTTAAGTCTCTGATGATACCTCAACACCCTGATATGTTTGTGCCTTTCTGTGCTATCCTCGTACTGAAGGGAGTTCTACTATCTTCACAACAAATATAAATTTGTTCCAACAAGTTTATAAATTGAACTATGTATACAACAAAGATATTTACCATTTGTAGTTTCTATCTTCCTGTGTTGCGTGATTTCATTTGTTGTTCAAGTGATGATGAGATACTGCAACAATATGACAGGAGTTACACTCCCGTGATTCGTAGTTTAAAGTCTGATGATTTCTCCATGCTTTATCTTCTAATGACCTTTGTCTTGTGAAATCCAATTATCTCATGTTCTTGTTTTATTGTTCATTGCTTGATGCAATTTGTAAATCTGGTGATGTTGAATAAATTGCAGCGATATGGCAGGATCATGTTTTGTAGTTTTCTGTTTGATTTCTCCATCCAAAATTTTCCTTTGCCTTCTGTTTTGCAATCTTATTTCACTTCTTTGATCATGATCATGGCTGTTACCTGACCATGACTGTTACTACGTATTACCATCAATCAAACCCAAGCTATTTAACAACCAGAAAGCTTATGGTTTGGTGTTTGCTTTGCTGTTCATGTGGTTCATTATGTGTAGTAATATTATGTTCTTTGTTCTGATTTGATACCACTTTATTTGCATTGTCTGTGATTAGTCTTCTACTATGATTAATAATTTTTTGCTTTTGCCACTTCTAATGTTTTTGATTGGCTCAGTGCTAACATAGTGATCTATTCATATCTTCAGACAACTGGAGTGTGAAGGCCATCAGGCGCAAGACCACTGGCACTGGAAGGATGAGGTACATGCGCCACCTGCCTCGCAGGTTCAAGAGCAACTTCAGAGAAGGTACCTTGCCATCTCTATCGAAAGTTATTAACACTGTGAACATCCTTTTATAAGTGAACCAGTTCTGATGTATCTTCTTTCTGTTGCTTGTTAACTCAGGTACCGAGGCTGCCCCCAGGAACAGGGCCTCGGCCAACTAGGTCTGGATTTTGCCCCATCAGGAATCCCGTGAAGCTAGAATTTAAACACTTTTTGCTTGGATTGTACTCCGCCTAAACTGTTGTTGCTATAGAATTGAGTATGGATCTGATATGTTTTGTTGCATGGGTTTGGAAGTTGACGACTGAATGTAAGACCAAATTTGTTACAATTGTTTGTGGGTTAAGGGCATATGCTTTCCAATCTAGTGAATTCTGGAGGGCTACCTTGCTGTGCGACACATCTGGCTTCTAATGAGGCGACTGCTTGCGTTTTGATAAACCATACATTAGTAATACACAGGACAGAATGTCGAACACTTCATTTTGAATGAAACAAATAATGATTGAAAAGTGAGAGTCAGTCATGGAAAACGATTCAAAACAGCCGGCTGATCCCACGATTGCATCCGTCGCCTCCAGCGTGTGCCACGCTGTCCCAGGCTGGCTTCCCGAATTTTCTTGTCCATTCGTCTGCCCGCTGTGTTGCATCTGGTATGTTTTGTTGCATGGGTTTGGAAATTGACCTCTGAATCTGAGACCGAATTTGTCTGAATGTTACAAGTACTCTTGTTTGTGGGTTATAAGGGCATCTGCTTCAATCAGTGAATTCTGGAGTGCTACGTTTCTGTGTGAGGCTGACTGCTTGTGTTAAACCATACTTCAGTAGTATGCAGTTGCAGTGTAACACAGGACGAAATCCTGAACACTTCATTTTGAAACAAATAATGTACAGTAGAAACTTTGTCCTTGGCAAGTGATAGTTAGTCTCATTGACCATCTCTATTGCATCATTTCAAAACCATAATTTATGTAGTTCTTTCATCAAATCAAAGATACTGAAGCTGAGAGACGTCCTAGTTTTACTGGGCTTGTGAACATGGTTATGTATTGCTGCCTTGCGCTGCTCACATGCCACTTCCATTGCCTTACCTCCGGCCACTGCGAGTCCTTCTCCTTTTCTTTTTCTTTACTAACTCCAGCTAAATTATGTGTGCTATGACCACAGAAGTCTTGAACACAACCGCGTCTCCTTCATTATTTTGTTAAGTGGCCTCTTTGCAGTTATGATTGGAGCGGCGTTGGTATTAGGATTTGTGACTTCATCAACATCATAATCGGTATCATTATTCTTCTACATTTTGTGTAGCCGATTATGATTTAGCCTTCCTCTTTGGTTGGGTTGGATCATTTTTCCGGTCTGTCCACTTCTCATTGTTGTGGAGCAAAGCCTAGTAATGGAACATGAGAAAAGCCACCTCTACCATGTGCCTCTCGAACAAACACGTCTCCTCCCTCCCTCACCTTTTCTAGCACTGCCATGGACTCCTGCTTCATATCGCTCTTAGTCTTGTACCGGTATCGTCGACAGCTTGCACGCATTGCATCCCGCGAACATCAGTAGCCACTCCTCCCTCACCGACCGTCGATGAGCTCATCGCCTGATTTGGGGAAAGTGGATCTCGATGGGGAGCGGGTGTGGAATGCGGAGAACTTTGAGTGAGAATGAGGAAGGGCACATGCACCTAGTAGCAATTGGGGATTACGTGCAGCGTCGATCCCCCACCCCTCGCCATGCTCGTGGATCAAGGAGACCTTTGCACCGCACCCAATCTCCTCGTCGAGCTATGCGACATGGCACAGGAGATGTAACGCAACACATGGTACAAATTTTTCCTCATCGCGACACATTCGCGTGTCAACAACGTGGACCACCTCATTGAGGAGGACCATTGTGCGCCGCCGCCCGCCGGTAGACAAGCAAGCTCGCTGCCCGGAGATTGAGAACGAACCATGCCGTCCACCGTGAGTTGTACGTGCGCACGAAACTCTCATCCTTCCCCCGACAGTGACTTTGTCTTTTTTTTTCTGATATTACATGAACCATTGCATACTGACTAAATTTGTCTATGGCTTTGGTATGACAGTGGTATATTTAACAAGATTGTCAAAAAGTTGACGCAAGTTCCGTTCAAACTCTTGTTTCTCGATGGCTCCATCCGATGACTTTTTAGGACATTAAAAGGAGGAAACTTTTGGTCTATGGGCGTATATACATCTTATATGATTTTTTACTAATTAAATAAAAAAGTAAACAATATTTTTTTTTTGAAATAAACTTGATATTTCATTGTACTTGTAAAAAATTCCACAAAAAGAAAAACTCCATTGATTTTTTTAGAAAAAAGCCCTGAAGTCAACGCTGGATTTTTATTCGTGAAAAATTATATACTAGTGCAAAATAATGCCAAGTTTTTTCTAAAGAAACTTCTATACATTTTTGTCTTTTATTTTAATTATTAATAAATTATTCTAAACAAGTGCATAGTGGGCCTTGTCCATCCCGTACCCTTCCGTTCCAAGACCTCAGTCACCGACTCACCGGTCACCGCTCCGCGGAATCCCCAGCCCCAAAAGCCGCCGCCGCCGCCATCCATCCCCCGTCGCAAGCTACCTACCTACTCCAGCCGCCGTCCCTTCCAAGCCATGGAGAATCCGGTGGAGGAGCCGTTCTCGAGGCTCACCGACGACCTAATCGCGGTCCTCTCCCGCGTGCCCTACAAATCCCTCCGCATCTGCGAGTGCGTGTGCCCGGCCTGGCGCGCCATCGTCACCGACCCCGCCAACCGGAGGAAGATCGCGCAGACCCTGGCCGGCTTCTTCCACATCGTCACCGACGACGAGGCCCCCGGCTTCGCCGTCAGCTACGCCGACCTGTCCGCCTTCCCCTGGGCGAGCGTCCCCAAGGCCTCCCCGCGCCTGCCGGTGCCGCCCGACCGCACGGACTGCTTCTTCTATCCCGAGGATTCCTCCGACGGGTTGTTCCTCACCCGCGTCGCGCCACCCCTTGCCTGCGTCCGGCGTGATGAAAAGTTTCTTTACATGGTCTCCAATCCAGCCACCGGCGATTATTTTGTGCTGCCTCACTCCGGCTACACCGGCGGCCACCCAAGAGTTTCGACGGCGATGCGCCCACCCAAGAGTTTCATGTGTTCGAGTTTGTGATGCTCTCTTGTGAGTTGTGACACGGGTGAACATTTACTCTTCAGAAACTGGTGCGTGGGTGGCAAGGGAAAGCCAGTGGAACGGCGGATTTACCTTGCGCTATCGTCAACCCGGAGTTTTCCGCAAGGGGTGTCTGCACTTGCTCACAGATCAGTCTGCGTTGGCGATAGTTGATGCGCAAGGGCTGAGATGGAGAACCGTTCCGCTGCCAACATTCGTTGATCCGAGCATCCAGGTTTTCATCGGTAAGTCTGCCGGGCGGCTGCTTTATATCGACTCCAGCGATCGCCAAGGACGGGGCTCAGATAGATTTTTCACTATATCGGTTTATGCTCTTAGTGTTGGGGTTTATCAGTGGGATGCGTCTCGCCCCGACGACATATTCCTGCCTTGGGAACCGTTGCGGAAGCTTTCAAATGTTGCTCCAAGGAAGAGGTTTAAGGTCGACTTGGCCCTTCAATTCACTGGAGTACACCCACATGCCAATATAATCTTCTTGGTATCTTTTTGGGACGGTGAACTGATTGCATATGATCTGGATCATCATGAAAGCACGGTTGTGTATCACATTCACCCTGACTATGAGAGGTCTAGGCCGTTTCTCCCATATGTATGTGTCGTTGCTGTCCCGCCTACCACTGGATGGAGGAATGCAGTTGGGAACTCCAAATTGATGAATGATGTTCTGCTGATTAAAAAAAATAGGCAGCCATGGGTGAGATGCTCTGTTGCGTTTTTGAGTGAAATCGTCACAAAGATTCAAATGGAGATGGTGTGTTGTTCATGGAAAATGCCAAATTTAGTTTTTATGGTCTGATCTGTACTCCTTTTCATGTCTAGTGTAGTCCCTGGTGTGTAGCTGTATGAGACATTTCGGTGTGTCCCTGTTTGGCTAAGCCAGAATTGTTTATGTTCTATGTGAGATTTCCTCGCAGTATGATTTAGGTATACATGCCATATCTTCTGGATAAGCCCTTCTACATATACTGACTGCCATTGCAGTATGGGTTACATTAGTGGAAAACCGCTTTTGCGGGCCGGCGCGGGTTGGCACAGCTCCCAAACAGATCCGTAAAAAAGTATATTCACGGAATATTTTTTTTACGGGTCGGCTATGCGGGTTCTGCTCGGGCACCAACACAACAACCCGCAAACAGAAAATTTGCAAATCTGGAATTTGACATAGGGTTTCACAAACAAGTTCAAATTCAAATGACATAAACAATTTGCGCGTAAATAAAAGCGAAGTTCATTACCCAAATGAGGGCATGCAAAGGTTCGCGTCCATGTCCGGCATCATCTTGGGGGTCGATCTTCACTCCGCGCCATGAAGTCCATCTTGAAGTTCATCAGCGCCACCGTAGCCACCTCCGTCGCTTGTTCCAACTCCCGCACCGAAATCATCCACATTGACACCATATGGAGCAGAGAAAACATCACTGGAACTGGAACATGGACCGGCCGAGGCGACCATTCTCCTCTTCAAGATCTCTCTCCTTGCCATATCATGCCATGTTTTGGTGACGTTGTCCATGTCATTGCGGTTCATTGACATGATCTTGTTCTCTTCGGCGAGCAACAATGGCATTGATTTGTTTTCAGAGGCGCGTGCTTTTCTCTCCTCAATGGCAGCTTTGCGGAGCCCCTCTTCCTTGAGCATTTGCCATTTTTCTTGCTTCTCTTTTGCCTTCTTCTCGTCCAACTCTTTCTTAATCTCCAACGACTTCAACAACATCAACTCGTTTGATTGCACCATGGCATCAATCTTCTCCCTCAAGCTCGATGCTTCTTGCTCTCTCTTCATCTTCTCTTTAGTCTTCTTGTCGCAATCGGGCTTGTGCAAATTTCTTCGGCCATCATCATCCTCATCTTCATCCATGTTTGTAAGTGAGCCTCTCTTTGGTGGGGATTCTTTGTCGATCAACTTCCACTTCTCGCACTTTTGGAGCAACTCCCAACAATGCTCTAATTTGAAGAATCTGCCTTCCGAAGCTTCCATATCCTTGTATCTATGTTGAGCAATCTTGTCCTACACATTGTGAACAAAGTGATGCAATCATTTCTCATGATACA